AATGGATCTTTCATCCAATACCAATCCTGCATAGTTTGCATTGTTGTAGCCTTCAAAAAGTAACATGTTATTCCATCTAAACATTATACATTCTCATGGTGTCCCCTTAAAGTAGCGTAGCACTAGGTATGCTATCTGCAAATGTACCTCCTTAAAGTTGTGCATGAACTGACTTATCGTACTCAGTGCATAGGCAATGTTTAGTCTTGTGTGTAACAAATAATCAGTGTTCCAACAAGCCTCTACTACATCTTCTTGTTGAATTCTACGTTTTCCTCTACTAGTCCCAATTTATGGTCAAGATCAAAACAATATGCATTGCATGTCAATTACATATATCCTTTAGAATATCACTAATCTACTGTGAGATGAAAATCTAGGCTTTTGAGTGAAACACTTCTCTTCGAACAAAGTATTTTAATTTCTCTAATTCTTTAATCTCAATTCTTTGGTTAGCATTGTTTGAGCACCAATCTCTCTTTTTTGTAATCACCTGTCATAATATCATCAACGTATACCAGGAGAACTGTAACTTCCCTAGAGTCTGAGTGCTTGATAAACGTAGTATGATCTCCCTAACTCTGCTTATATCTTATTGTCAGCATTACCTTTTCAAATATTTCAAACCATGCTTTGGGTAATTGAACCCGTGGAGTATTTTTTCTAGTCTATATTACTTAATTTGTCCCTGCCTCTTCGGTAAATTCTAGAAAAAATTTTATATAAATTTCTTTTTTCAGGTCTCCACGTAAAAAAACATTCTTTACATCAAAATATTGTGGTTGCTAATCAAAGTTTGTAGCTACAAACAATAGGACTTGCACTGTATTCATTTTGACAACCAACGTGGGAGTCTCTTGATAGTCTATTCCATAAGTTTGGATATATTCTTTGACCACTAATCTTACTTTTATCTCTCTATGGTCCCATAAGTATTGTATTTTATAGCGAACACCTATTTGCATCCCACAGATCTCTTTCCCTTACATAAGTCCACCATTTTCCATGTCTGCCTCTTTTCCAGTGCCTACATTTTTACATTCATGACATTTTCTGATTACTCAAGACAACGTACTAGGAATAAACATTATATTTAGACTATGAGAAAGCTTTTATGTTATAGAGAACACTTGTCAAATGACACAAATTTTAAAATAAAGAATAATGGATGTTTAGTAGATTCTTAAATCCCTTTTCAAGTGCAATAATACGTTCATATCAGAAAGTAAACAGTTCTCAAAAATTACCTCATCCCCAACACTCGATTCATATGCTTAAACTTGCTGGCTCAGGATCCAGATTTTTTCTCCTTGAGTACACCTTAGATAATCATGAATCCTAGGTGGTTACTAGCCCAAGTTTATTATCTGGATTGTGGTGTAATTAGGGATTTCTTTTTTGGGGTTTGAGACAACTGAGAGGGTGTAGTATTTGGTGATGTAGAAGGTAGTGGGATGTCAAAAAAGAATAAATTCTTATCTTCTGATACAGGCTTCCCTCGAAGAGAAAGTTGGCTGAAGAAAGACTTGATCTCAACAAATGTGATGTGTGCAAATACATAAAAAAAATTTATAGAAGAGTGATAATATTCGTGTTCCTTTTGTGTGGATGAGAATCCCACAAGCACACTTAATGGACTTTTGGTCAAATTTCCTCATTTGATGTCAATATATGTGAACACAAGCAACACACTGAAATAATTTAGGAATAAGATGATTTATAACTCTTACATTAAGAAAAAAGTATATGAGACTTACATAGGACTCTGATAAACTCCTACATCCTATACATTAATTTGTTAATAAGATAAACGGCCAATCAAAATAGTATTCCACCAATATTGTTTGTACACGGTTTTAGAACAAAAAAATATTGGTAGTAGCAAGTAAATGGTTTTTTTTTTTTTACCACTCCATTTTTTTTGTAGAGTGTAGACGTAGGAGGACTCATGGAAAAATTATATGTTTTTGTTTTGTCAATTCATATATATCATAGTTAAATTTTCATTATTGAAATCTTTAAATAAAAAGTGAAACACGATCTTAAGGATAGAAAAAGAATGACGTCCTAATTGTCTGTGGTGTAACCAGATCTTGTCTAAAGTACCAATAGAAAAAGAGGAGTATGGTATCTCAGGTGCATCCAAGAGTACGATCTGTTCCGTGCTTCAACATATACAATTATCATCTTTAAGGTTTGGTCCTGAAAGTTACAATAAGAATAAGAAAAGTTCACACTACAACTAACATCGTGTGATAATCTGGTCACTGAAATAAGATTCATGCACAATTTAAGAACATGAAGCATATCTATAAGTGTAAAGTGGGGACTAACTTTATACTTTCAACCCCTGCTATGATAATCAGTGACCCATGAGCAGTAACCATTTCCTTACTAGAAAATGGGATATATGTGCTAAGGTATTTAAATGAATTGGTTATGTAATCTATGACTCCTGAATCTATAATTCTAGACAATGTAAGGGGTTTATTTGAGGCATTTAGTACATATGAGGTAGAAAATGTATCTGAATGTACCAATAAACATGCAGTTATGGGTTTCTCCAAAGACTCAAGTCGAGTTCTTCAATGTTCGATTTTTGCTTTAAATTCGTTAAGATTGGAAGCCTTCTCTTCCACTTGTTGATTAACCATATGTGCCTATTTGTGGAATTTTATGCTATATTTTTGCATCCCTAGTATTTACTAGAGGTACTTGGCTTAACATGAAATTTCCAATATTTCTTCTTGGTGTATCTAGGTTTCTTACAGAAAGTACACCATAAATTGTCTTTATTCTCTCCACTGTTGTTCATATGTCTTGTTGACTTGGCTCTTTTGCCTGTTGGCGTGGTTTAGAGCCCTTGGTTATCATAGTTGAACTTTCAATGGAGCGAGTTTCTAGCATGACCCATCTGCTACTCTATTATGCCAGAAAAATGGAAATTATTTCATCTAGGGATGGCGTTTCTTCCTTCCATAATATCTAAATGCACCTGATCATATTCCACATTGAGACAAGCGAAAAATTGGTATGCTTTGTCCTTGTCCATAAAGTTCTTCTGAGCTGCTTCATCTTTACTACACTGCATGTTAAGACAGAAGTATTGGTCCTGTTTCTGCCACCAACCTTTTAGGAGATAGGCATATTCCGTCACTAATCTGTTTCCTTTCTTTGCAAGCCAGGTCTATATTATCAAATCATAGATTTGGACTGCATCTTTAAATTTGGAGTTAGTTTTCCTGACTGCTTCCCAAATTTTCCTTGCAATGGGTAAAAACATACATGTATCGCTTATCTCTGGTAGTATTGAATCCAGAGT